TTTTTGCTCAAGGCTACTGTTCCATCACTTGAACCATACCTCCAGTTTCTTCTTTTTGCCAGCTAATTTTTGGAGATAGGAATGTCATAGACTTTTCTGTCAGGCCGGTTTTGAACCACAATTCTTCCTGAGTAGCTAGGATTGTAGCCTCAAGCACCTGGCATAGAGATGATTTTAATTTACTTTGGCACTAGAGCTTAATCATATTTCTCCTAATTAATGTCAATTGCAGTTTAAAACCGATCAGTTGAAACTAATTTAAGAGATTATGACTTTGTATATGTGTCCCATATGTGTACTAAACCAATAACTTGTAAGTACTTCTACCATGCGCAGGCCTGGGCTTGACATGTAAACAAGTCATATGTAGTAACTTAAGTACATGAAATAAAATCATTCCATTAATGTTTGTAACAAACCAAATAAAAACCCAACCCTTTGGGTTAGAGGCATGGCTCAGGTGGTAGAATATCAGCCAGTGAGTGTCAGATATCAAGTTTGAGCCCTGGTCTTGGACAGAAAAAAAAAGAAGATCAAGCTTGTAGTCCTGTGCAGAGAAACAAATGTGATCATCTCCATGGAGATGTTTCAAGAAAGAGGAGACTTGGGAAGATCTGTAGCATATTGTCAGGAGAGGTCATTGTATGTCAAGAGAGATTGAAATGAGTAGAAATGTTGACTCAGCACATCCTTGTAGTGCATTGTTAAGAGCTTTTTAGTGACATAGAATGTTAACTTTGCTTGTTACCCTCAAAGACAGAATCTTTCACATAACCTGATTCTGTTGTAGGTATTTTGTGTTATATTTCAGCCTAGTGCATGTTGAATTGATTGTGAGCATCCAGAGCCTTACTAGAATAAAGTAAAAGCTGGCATTTATAGACACTAAACTACTTAGAAGAATGTAAACATTTTAGCTGGGCGCTGCTGACTCACACGTGTAATCCTTGCTACTCAGGAGGCTGAGATCTGAGGATTGTGGTTCAAAGCCAGCCTGGGCAGGAAAGTCCATGAGATACTTATTTCCAATAAGCCACCAGAAAACCAAAAGTGGCACTGTGGTTCAAATGGTAGAGTGCTTGCCTTGGGCTGAAGAACTGAGGAACAGTGCCCAAGCCCCACGAACAACAACAACAAAAAAAAGTAAGCATTTCATGTGTGGACAAGAGATCCCTGTGGAACCATCGTAGAGAGGGATATGTTTATTGAAACAGATTCTGTGCCTTTCTATTAAAATTCCTTCTTTAGAGATAAGCCAGTAATTTACAAAACAAAATTAGGACATCATAATCCTTTTTGTTCAAGAAGCTATATTAGAAGATGGCTTCATGTACTTCTAAGACACTAATTAGTTGCTGCATGGCCTCTCATGCTGTGAGACTCCTGTGATTCATGGGTATTTATCCATCACAACAGGATTTTCTGATGCTATTTGGTTATGGTATTACTTATAATTCTGACTCAGGCCTTTAAAAAGGGCTTCCAGCAGTTCTTGAAAGCCATCTCCAGTACTCAGGAGCATTTTAGGCTGTGGAGATGGTGAATCAGCTTGGCAGCATGGTAGCTGGTGTGTGAATCCGGTTGCCTTGTGTTCCTGAGGTACAATTTTTAATGAAACTCAAAGCAAGGCATGATAATGAGTTCTTATTGTTGTAAGTTCATTATTTCGTAAGATCTCAAATGTCTGTGTGCATGTGCGCGCATGTGTATGTGCACGCATGGGTGCTCACACACATATGCTCACTGCTTCCTGCTTCTGATCCCTTTTGCTGGTTAATAGGATTTAAGAGTCTCTTAGATTTGTATTCGAGGCCAGTTTGGGAATGAGACCCTCAAATCTCAGTTTCTTGAAGCTAGGATTACAAGTGCAAGCCACCAGCACCTGCCTGACTATATTCTTTGTTACTTTATAAAATTTATTTAGATAGTGGTTGGAATAGGCAAGAAATAAAAAAAAATTCCCCACAGAACTCTCCTAAACCATATAATTTTTTGTTACATAAATTTATGAAATATGTAACCCTTTGAGATTATTTTTGGTTATAATTCCAAAGCCAAAAAAGTGAGTCTTGATACATTCCCTCTCTCTCCTCCCTCCCTCCCTCCCTTTCCTTCCTTCCTTCCTTCCTTCCTTCCTTCCTTCCTTCCTTCCTTCCTTCCTTCCTTCCTT